TTTTTNTTTTTTGGGAATCAGGTATGATGTGAACAGATGGACGAACAATACCTAGGAAGTTCACGAAGGACGGCCCGGGGGCGAATCGCTGGGTAATCCACAGGGGCTATTAACGAATCTCTACAAACTAAAGTTGGAGTGTTAGTGGCGCAGGAGGTGCTGTGGCTTGCACCTTTAGCGCTGCTCCTCCCAAGCTCCAGCAGTGAGTGTCCTGAGATCATGGCCAGGGACGTGAATGGACGAGGGAGCTTCCATGTTTGAGACGCGTTCCTTCAAAATATTGACGACGCCGTTTCATGGACAAAACATCCCTGAACTTGATGTTGAATTAGTTCCCGTCTCTTTACGATTCCGTTAACGGCTACACAGGAAGATGTCGAGTACTTTCCATTAGTATCTAACTAACTACCTGAAAGCCGTACGGGGATCGATAAGTGTCCAAACATTTCAACTTTCTTTTAACCCTTGAATCCATTTACATTTCTTACACCTTGCGCTTCCCTGAAAAATACCCGATTTCTGGTAATCAGCCAAGGTAACCTCACCATTCAAGATGGCAGAAACACACGACGAAACCCCAGTTTTCTCTGAGGAGGATGACCACCGAGTATGTTTACGTTTTATGCCCCCATTGTTTCACAATTTGCCCCGAACGCGGTTCTTCACAGCAGCCCTACTTACTAATTCACACTCGTGAAAAACAGGCAGTCTACATCTTCAACCCAAGAGCAGGTCACCATACCTCCCTGGCACAAGAGAAAACAGCTCGGCCAGTAAAAAAGCGGAGAGTCAGTAGTAAACGAGCTTGGTCTGCCTCTGCCGCCGATCATGCGGGAGCAGTACCACATGCGGAGGAGGAGACGAAGACGACAACGACTGCCGCTGCTGCCTTCTCTCAACTGTTCGGGGGGAAGGAGAGTGTGGAAGCTGCGGGGTTGAGGAGACAGGTGTTCGATACGGCGTGGCCGGTTCTGGATGGACGAATTAAGGTAGGTTTTGATTTCGTTGTTTGTGTAATTTGTTGGGTCTTTACCTTGTCGCGAGGGGAGGGGATGAAGATGAGTGACTTGCCGATGAGTTTTCGATCTCCTAGGGGAGCTATAGGCTTGGACGGGGGCAGAAACGGGGGAGTGGCATTGCGCTTTGGATGTGGTGTTGGATAAAAATTGCTAACTTGAGTTCTACGAGTGAAGAACGTACTAAGAGAGGCGAACCGAACGACCCTGGAGGATGTCAGCTCGTTTATACGTGACGCTGAAGGTGATGCGTAAGTGGTGATGCCCCCTTCCCGATCTCATTAGTTAAGGGGAAACCGGCACTGACACAAAACAGAACAAGAGGAACCAGAATCCCAGCCGGCTTCATCATCACCGGCCCCAACATCGCCTCCCAAGACGTCCTTTTCGAACAACTTTCCGAGGCTCTCGGGAAAGCCACACAAGCCCGGTTTGTTCGTCTACGGGCGGCTGGGGCGCCGAACCTCAAGGCGGCGCTCAAGAAGGTAATAAGAGACGCCACTGCGCAGGTGTCTCTTGACGGAGGGGATAGGGATGAAGACACCGAGGTCGCCTTAGGCCGGGATGGCAGGAAGTATCTCGACTATGATCTAGAGGGATTACAAGCTTTTTTCGGCGCGCAGCAGGATTCGTCACGGCGAGTTGTTGTGGCGTTTGAGGATAGCGAGGCATTTGAGAGCTCGTTGTTGACTGATCTGCTTGGTCTTTTCCAGTAAGTTGACCGTCAATCTTTTACTCCTTTCCCTGCTTTTTCCCTCGAGGAGGTGTGGCTAAACAGATCTGGGCAATGCAGTTCATGGCAGGGGCGCATCCAGTTCTCCGTACTCTTTGGCATCGCTACCTCGGTGGAATTGTTCCAGGCGCGACTCCTCAAGTCTACTGCCCGACAATTGTTTGGTGCCAAGTTCGATGTCGTCCAGGCAGATTTGGTTCTTGATAATGTCTTCAAGAGCGCCATTGCTGGGACGCAGGCGACACTTCGCCTGGGGCCTACGTTACTGAGGAGTTTGCTCGATCGCCAGCGGGATCAGGTTGCTGGTATTCGGGTCTTCATCAGCTCTATCAAGGTAAGTCCGACTGAAATCTTCATCAGGACATTTACCATGGCTGACATATATGCTGTCATTTAGTACGCCTACATGTGTCACTTCTACGCGAATCCTTTGAGTGTCCTGCTTGCGGATGAAAAGTCCCTGACCCGTCAGCTTCTCCAACCTGAGCACATTCAGGCTGTACGGACGCTTGATTCTTTCAAGGCACACGTCGAGGCCGCGGTGGACGCCAGACAGCTCAAGCATGCGCAGTTACTCGTCGAAGATGATGGCTACCTCGTTCGCCAGATGGTTGAGCAGCGGCAGAAAAAGCAAGATTACCTGATGCAACTATTGCGTTCTCTACACCTCCTGACAAGCATGGATCTCGTTCCTGGCCGTTTCACCGATCTCTACGTGGCCGCTCTCGCAGGGGGGCTCGATCTAACGCCCACCATCGACGGCATAAAACGATTAGGAGCAGACGACGTCCCTGCCCTAATCAACCGCCTACTAACAGCCATCCGAACCGGCAGTCCCGACCTCGACCTGCCAGGCTGGGAGGACGAAGCCGAGGAGCTCATCAGTTCCCTCTGCGAGATCCGCGACGAGATCGAGGCATTAGCAGAGCAAGCCCAGGAAAAAGGCCAACAAGCCCTCAAGAGCAAATTCACCGCCCAAAGCAAAGTCCTCCGCACAACCGTCATCGCCCAAAAGGTCCAGCTCAGCCAGGACACGGCCAAACTGACGGACGAAGACAAGGCTTTCGGTAAGGCCATCGACGCTCTTGTGGACTTACTCACCCACCATATCTACAGCGATCCCGTCGACAGTCTATTCTTGCACGAAGCATGGGCGTACGACACCGAGGCTCCGTACCGGGACGTCTTTGTTCCGCGGCCGGGAACGACCTTTGAGCGAGCGTTGACAAGGCCGCATGCGTACCTCGGGTGTGAGTGCTGCAGCAAAGCCAACGGGACGCTGTCGGCCACGCTGCCGACGACGTGTATTCTATATCGATTGTACCTCGAGACGGGGTCGTTGGTCAATGTGGCGGATCTATGGTCTGCGTACTACGCGCTTGTGGGCGAGGACTCGGTGGATGGTGGACTGGGCGAGAGAGAGGCGCTGGTGCAGTTCTATCACGGCTTGGCGGAGTTGAGGCTGATGGGCTTTGTCAAGAGCAGCAAGAAGAAAGCGGATCATGTTGCCAAGGTTAAGTGGTTGCTGTAATCAGCTCGGGATAGGTGTGTGTACTGTGTGTATATGAGTGTGTGTGTGTGTGTGTGTGTGTGGCTGGAAAGTGGATGGAGGGAAAGAGGAGAAAGGGGAAGAACCGAACCGAGAGCGTCTGGGCAACTTTCCGTTCGCGCTCTTTGTTCGTCTCGAATGTTTCATCCTTGGATGTGGATGGAATGAGAAGCTATGTTTGGCATCTTGCGTGGCCACATGGGAAAAATGCATTGTTACTGTCATTGGCATTCATTCATTCCATTCACATCGTTTTCGACGAGAAGACCTCCACACAAGGCCGAACAATGTCTTCGATTGGCATAATCGCGTTACCCTCTCAAATCCAAATCAAAGAGACAAAGCCCCCCCTATAAAAAAGGGGGAAGACAAAGAAAAGACCATGACGGCATCCCAACTTCCGGTGTTGCTTCCTACCTGTGCTGTTTCTGGAAATCGCCAGCGGCTTTTCTCTACCACCAAAGACATAAAAAACATGCTTTCGTGAGCAATGTCTACCATACAACAGGGACGGCGGTCATCTTCACTAGGCTGTTTCATCATTTCCGGTCTGCTTATTTGAATCGTGAATCGCTTCTGCTTCGTTTCGTTTCGTTCGTGTATCCAAAAGGTCGTCGTCGGTTTATTTTTCAGCAGGTCATCCCGTAGCCCTTCCTTTTCAGAAACGTCCATCGTGGGAGGATACCAAATAGTTTAAAAGAAATCATACAACTACTCATTCTACTCTGCCGCAACTACGGGTGCACGAACCGAACCGACAAAAGAAACGAGAAAAAAAAGCCTTCACTTTACTTGAGTTATCATATGTTCCTCAATACCTACCGACCCATTTACTCATTACAAATTCCCTCGTCAAGTTTCTCGCAAACCTATTCGCTTGTAATCGGATCGCAGTCATACCCGTCGCAAACGAGCGCTGACGTTGAGCAGACCAATTGATCACGAGCTGGTCATTCACCGGGAACTTGTCGTCTCGTATATCCTCTTCAGGTCTTGCTTGTCACTGTATAAAATCCTTCGGGTTCCTCCTCTTAAACCACTGAGCAAGAGCTACCGAAGTAGGAACGGCGAGTGTGTGGGCAATCAGGCCAGGTTTGGTATCGCGAGTCTACCCTCATAGCCAGAAACGCGATAACTCTTCAGGGGAAAAAAGAGACAGCAAGCACAATGTCCAACCACGGGCAACACCCAGGTCAACAACCCAATCCTCGGGGTCATCACCGCCGTCCGCCTCCCCCATCATCAGGAGCAGCGTCACAGCCACCACAACCACCACAACCACAACGACCACATCCCCCTCAACCCAGTTCTCACCAATTACAAACCCCACCAACCCTCACAACCCGCCGCTCCCTCCTCTCCCCAACCTTCGCCTCCAAACTCCGCCAACTCGCCCTCCCCCTCGCCCCCCTCGTGCAGCTAACCAGTGGCACCGTGCACCCCGAATTTCCCCAGACGTTGCTCAGCTTCTGGCTTTTGACCGACGACCAGCTGGACCGACTAGCGAGCTTCTATCACCAGCGCACGCCATGCCAGTGGACGGCGCACTACCCTTGTCCGGTGTCATGGCCGGCAGGCATGGGGATCGAGGAGAAGCGGAGGAGGATTGGACGGTTTATTGGGCTGAGGGGGTGTGAGAGTCCGTTGCCGACGGGGACAAGTTTAGGTTTAGATGCGGACATGCGGCAGATGAGTACGGGGGGAAAGAAGGGGGATGAGCAGGTAGATGATAACGCTATGGGGAATGATACAGATTTGGAACTGGGTGGACAACAGACGGAGCAACAACGGGCGGACTCGAAGGGCATGAGTCCGCCTCTAATGGCAGCTATGGAAAACGAAGGGAATGGAATGTCGACGTACATATCGGCGCTGTTGAAGTCGACGATAGGGACGCCGGACGAGGATATCGCAGAGACGGAGAGGAGGGTCAGGAGAGCAGAGGATGAGTTGGATGAGATCAGGAGGAAGATGGGTTGGTATCTTTAGGTTAACAGTGATTGTTGCAATGGGTAGGGGTAGGGATAGCAAGACGGGCAAGATTTGGAGTTTCCGAAGGATTCGCTTTGAAAAGGTCTAGATAGCCAGGCAGGTTAGCTAGAGGTACTGAACGAGCGCTGGTGCTCGGCAACATCGGTACATACCTAGAGCGTAGAACAGCGCGACATACCAAATACAAACTATCCAAGCCGAGGCCTGATTCGCTTTCATTCGTATATTGACCAATGTAGGTATTGAAGTCTACGTAAGAATCCCAAACCCAAGGACGCTGTGGGCTGTACTATATCTCGACCAAGACCCGTAAACGACCTGAAGAGGCTCCCCCCCAAAAAGTATACCCTTGAATATTTTGCTGCAGGTCCCAACCCATAAACGCCATGGAAGAATGCAATTGCTTGCCCAACGCAGCCCCACGCTGCCCTGCCCTCCCATACCTCTCTTCTTATTGTACAGCCACCCCGGAGATCTCTATGCGAGATGCTCACGTCACTCTCATGCACCGCTCGCTAGGACGTGACCTCTAGTTCTTGCCCTTCTTGTTCGACGGCGATGAGGTGACTGAGCTGGTGTCCGCAGGGGTACCAGTACCAGTCTCATCCCCTTCCAGTTCCTTCATGAACTCGCTTCTAACGGTGGCCCTGCGCTTCTCCCACCACTCCTTTTCCTGTGTTGCCTGAGCCTGGATCTCGTCAAGGCGCTCGCGCAGCACAGTGTTGGCAGCAATCTCGTTGGCGGTTTGGAAGATGCTCTGTCCCCAGTTGGGAGCGAGTGCGTTGGCCTGAAGAATCGGGCATTAGCATTTCTAGAATCCAATAATCCGCACGGTAACCCTCTACAGAGGAACACACACCTCCATTACAACATCACGAAGCTCTTCCTCCATTTCCTTCTCAGCACGCTGGAACCTTTGCCACAGATCATCGCCGATGCTTCCACGCTGCAAAAGAGAGCTGCAGGCGGCCTTGGCGGCGCGGATCTGGATAATACGGTGGATGTCTTCGACAGCGCGGCGCAGCAGAGCCGCCCGGAGCACACTTTCGGGAACTTTAGGTGCCTTTTCGGATCCGTTCTCGGGCTCCATGTGGAGGAGTGACAGGTAGACGTTGCGTTGGAGGTGAGGACCGAACCATGGTGCGAGGTTTGCGCTTTGCTCTGGAAGAATCAACGTGGTTAGGTTTCTATTCAGAGAAGCATGGAAAGTTCTGGGTAAAGGGGTTGCATACGGGCTTTCCTCTTGCGGTAGATTGTGGAAAAGGTCATGAAGGTGCCCGTCAGGACAATCAGATAGGCGAAGGGGAGCACAAGCCCCCGCCAGTCGAGGCTGAACATGTTTCGGGATAAAGTGTGTCAAATTGACGGACGAGAAATGATGTCTGTATTCTCTACTCTGGAAGAAAGCGAGCGACTAGAGTGAACCAAGAAGCGGCGGCGTGAGGATTGTCGTCGTGCAACTGAAAGGTTGCCAGGTGGTGGATGTGTTTGCCTTTTGCGGTTGTGTGAGTGATGGACACCGACGGCAATGTGATCGTGCTTCCCTTGGTTATCAAATGCAGTGCCCATGCCTGGAAAGAACACCTTGACAACTGCGACGGTGCAGCGCGGCAGGGGGAGCTTGACAATGGAATTTCGGCCCTTGGCGCGCGCTGGCTTCATCTGAGTGGCAGGGGCCCATGCCGCAAGTGGAAATCGATGCCTGCCGCGACAGCCCCTTTCTGTCACTCTCGAGGGGTGCGGGGCATTACCGATTTGCCGGGCCGGCATTGGGCTCAGGTCTCTCTCTCTGCCCGACGTGGGACCGGGAGTTTCTTGGCCCTTCTGGAAACCCAGGCATGCCTCGATTGCTCAGCACTTCCCAGCACGCCCCAGCACTCCCGCCGCCCAGGCACAACGTATGACGAACGCCTGAAACTATCGTACAGCGTTGCGTGGAGCTCCCCGCCCTTCGATCAGGTCCCGTTTGCCGACCAACGGGCAATTCACCACCTGCAACACTGCATCACCTAGGTTCCCTGCCCGATCACCACGGCACCCGGTATCCCGTCACCAGTTGTGCCTTCACCCCGAGTCCGAGGACCTGGCGTGACCTTGTAGACTTTGCGCAAAAAGAAGTTTTATTCATAGATACCGCCCTACATCCGACGCCTGCGACACATTTTGAATTCAGATTCTGGATCATACTCGCCGAACGACAATAGACCAGATTCGTCGGACCCTTTGACAGCCCAGACGTCACCTTTTTTTTCAGCCCGCCCACGATGTTGTTGAGGGTACGCGGTCCCGATGGCATGCTCCGCCTGACATTGGAGAAAGATGACACCTTTGCGGATCTTGGCCGTCAACTCATTCCCAAGCTTCCCCCGACTGTTGACCCGAAAACAATTACATTCTCGAACCATCCGACCGGCAGCGACGCCAAGAATCTCAGCGAGGTCGCAAAATTCAAGGTCGGCCAGACTGGGCTCAGGCAAGCTGACCCCTTTGATCTCTCGCGCTGATCTTGCGATTTATGTGCCAGACACTAACTAGCGACCTGAAAACAGCCATGGCGATCTTATTTTTGTCACCTACAAGCACAACGATGCGGCGACCGACGGCCCAGGCAACGGCGAAGCCACCAAATCCAGCGTGCTTTCATCCACGAACCGCCTCAACGGCAAACCGATCCTACCTGCAGAAGACTTGCCCATCGACCCGCCTCCGCTGACATCTCCGCATGAACATATCAAGAACCCGTGGGAAACGGTGAGGCAGTCGCCTTTGGACGATCGGCTAGACAGGCGTGACGGAAAGATCCCAAGGGGGCGCGATCATAAGATGTGTCGCCACGGGCCCAAGGGTATGTGCGATTACTGCATGCCCCTTGATCCGTTTAACGCAAAGTATCTCGAGGAAAAGAAAATCAAGTACATGTCAGTACACGCATACCTCCGCAAAATCAACTCTGCGACAAACAAGCCCGAGCTTGGGGCTTCGTTTATCCCCCCGCTTGTCGAACCCTATTACAGAGTCAAGCGGGACTGTCCATCGGGCCACCCTCAATGGCCTGAAGGTATCTGCACAAAATGCCAGCCCAGCGCTATCACTCTCCAGCCCCAGCCATTCAGAATGGTGGACCACGTCGAGTTCGCGACGCCCCAGATCATCGACAAGTTCCTCAATCCCTGGCGTATGACCGGATGCCAACGGCTTGGTATCCTCTACGGCAAATATCTCGAATACGATGTTGTTCCGCTCGGCGTCAAGGCTGTCGTGGAAGCCATCTACGAACCACCGCAGGTTGACGAGATCGACGGTGTTACTCTCAACGCGTGGGAAAACGAGAAGGATGTCAACGAGGTAGCAAGACTATGCGGACTGGAGCCTGTGGGTGTGATCTGGACGGATCTCCTGGACGCTGGCAAGGGTGACGGGAGTGCCATCTGCAAGAGACACACCGATTCCTACTTCCTCGCGGCTCAGGAGATCTGCTTTGCGGCGAGGCTCCAGGCACAGCACCCAAAGCCTACCAAGTGGAGCGATACAGGCCGGTTCGGCTCCAATTTTGTCACTTGCGTCATCTCTGGCAATGAGCAGGGCGAGATTTCGATCTCAGCCTATCAGATGTCGAACGATGCAGTCGAGATGGTCAGGGCAGACATCATCGAACCTTCCACGGACCCCGGTCAAATGTTGGTGCGTGAAGAGGAGGATGACGATGGCTCAGTCAGCAGGACGAGATACATCCCCGAGGTGTTCTATCGCAAGATCAACGAGTACGGAGCAAACGTCCAAGAGAATGCAAAGCCCGCATTTCCCGTCGAGTATCTCTTCGTCACTTTAACCCATGGTTTCCCTGAAAGTCCGCGGCCTGTTTTCACGAATGACGGCTTCCCTATCGCTAATCGTGAATTTGTCGGCGAAGCCCAGGAAGCCTCAGCAGTAGCAAAGATTCTTAAGGTGAACCAAAAGTCCGACCAATTCGACGTTAGCAACTTCCACTTGCTCTGCTTTATCCGGCAGATGAGCGTGCTGTCCAAGGTCAGTTCACCGTATTTCTACTTGGGTCCGACAGAATACTGATTCTTCCTCGTAGGATGAGGAGGCACTCCTTTGCCGCGTAGCAACACAACATGACCTTGCCGACGCCTTCCAACTCCGGGCGACAGAGGGGTGGAGGACCCTGCACATGATCTTGGAATCCACTGGTGAGAGACTTCCCAAGCGCCCCAGAACTGAGGATGCTAGTTTTCCCTCGGTTGACAGATCCTACCTCAGCCACCACCCATTGATGCAAAGGAATCACAACTCGACGGATGAACCACTTGCTAAGCGTTTTGCTGCTGTCAGGCTGAACGAACATCGCCCGCCACCGCCTCCACCTCCCGAATAGGACTCGATGGACGTGGATTGAGGATACGCATGGCTTAATAATGTCACCACCAACTCCGATCACAAGGCACGGGGCTGAGGGATCAGGTCCTTTAACAAAAGGCGACACAGGGCTTGGAGCTTCGTCTGCGGCGAAACTTTTATTCTGGACCGACTTCAGCGGAACACATTGAGAACATACAATGGACGCATTGGCGTTGACTTTTGCTGCTTTGAGGGAAAATAGACATGAATTGGGCATCAAATAAGACAAGAAAGAGGTTGAGTAATGAAAAAGATATCCTAGTCAAACAATGCCGAAGATACTGCTCATGTCGCATTGTGGCTCATGAGCATAGTTTCTGTAACATTATGTCATCTACAATTAAAGCGCCAGTGGTTTAGTGGTAAAATCCATCGTTGCCATCGATGGGCCCCGCGTTCGATTCGCGGCTGGCGCATATTGTTTTTCTTTTGCACCTATTGCCAACAGGGCGAGGAGAGTCTTCTCTATTTTTCATTCCTTCTTGTCTCTTTTTCCTTCCTCCTCTCTCACGTTTTCCTTCCTCCTCTCTCACGTTTTCCTCGCTTTTTTTCTCTCTTACTTCTCGCACTTTCCCCATCCACTTGTGAGTTTTTTTTTCAGTCTTTTATCGATAATCCTTCATCCTTCCTCAAATCAATCGCTCTGTACTCGGAAGGTTATCCGAAAGGATTACATGTCGTAATGTTAAATTACAAGATAATTATCACAATGCCTGTCTAGTGTCAAGCGTTGTCTTGTTCAGGGCCAAACCCAATAACCTACTAAGCCACCAAGGGAACACTATGACACCCGTCGGAGTTGCTCCAACCGATCCCCCAACGCCTCCCAAAATCGACATCTATCACTCTCTTCCTCCCCGACCTCCTCCATCCTCGTATCTCCCAGTTCCACCAGCAACCTCTTCGCCCTCCCCCTCCTACCTCTGTCCTCCATCTCACCGCCCTCACTTCCATCCGCATCTCCACTTTCATCCAAAGAAGAAGAATCCCTACCCCATGTCGCCCACTCGGGACTTCCCCTCTCTCGCAATATATTCGGATCCAACGTTCTCACAAAACTGATCCAGTACGCCATAAACATGGGAACAATCGGTGCGTTATACGTCTTGTAGCTGCTCCCCTCCCCAGCCCCGAACCCGCTGATGTTATCCGGCCCAAAAATGGCGGCCGCGTCGAAGAGGTGGGGCACGCCGACGCCGGCGGCCTGGAGGGTAAAGTCGCGGACGTTGAAACGGTAGGCGAATGCTTTCCTTCTTTGGGTTTGGTTGCTTGGGGGTGGTGGTGATGAGGAGGAGGGAGAGGGAGAGGGGGAGGCGGAAACGAAAGCGTCGAGAAAGTTATTAGAGGGACAGATGAATGTAGCTTCGCCGTAGGCAAGACTGGTGGTTGGATACCAGGGGTTACGGTTCGGCAAGGGAGGCAGTTGCGGGTAGAGCGAAAGGATATGGCGCATGTCGGAGGGGGTAAGATGGGGGTAGTTGGTGGTGAAGAAGTTGGTGAGGTCGGAGGGGGTGAGGGAGTCGTAGGCGAAAACTGACCCTTCTGTTTTTTTGTGGAGAGAGGGGGGGCTCGTGATTAGTGAGGTGATATCAAGAACAGGAATGGGAAGGAGATGGGAATGGAAAGAAGGATGATAGGAGGTTAAAATTATATGTCCTTGAATGGAATAGGAGCACATACCGTCTGTGTTGGTACCAAAAAGAATCGGTACATTCAAAAGACGACCTCTTCGGATAAGCCGGTAAGGGAGGTCCTGCAAGAAGTCACCGTCCACGCATGGAGTCCAGTAGAAGATAGGCAAGAGTGGTCCGTCATGGCCCGGGAAATGTTGGGCGTGATTAGCTGCTTGCAAAGAGGTGACGTTCTGACTCCGTAAACAAGTGAGCTGCTCCGACGAATTTACAATCGAACAGCCAACCTGCTGCGCCAATCGGTCGAACTGATATTCGAGCTCTTTTACATACGGCTGGGCTGGGAAGAAGAGTGACTCGGACATGGCACCTACGAAAAGGTTGTCGTTACGGCCACCGTATGCCAACAGATGCATCACTACGGAGCCTGCTCCTGCTGATGCACCGTGGATGACTACATGGTCGGGGTCTCCTCCAAACTGTCGACGTGTGAGGTCAGTCTAGACTGCGGGTGATAAGTATCTGGGGCCAGATATGAAACTACATACCGCGGAGATATGTTTCTTCACCCATTTCAACAGCATCCGCTGGTCGAGCAAGCCGACATTCAAATCACCGTCATCTTTCACCCGCTGGCTGGCGAGGAACCCCCACATCCCAACCCGATAGTTAAAGTCCAACATAACGATGTTGTGGCCGGACTTCTGGACGACTTCACTTCCGTTCCAATTAGCATTAGTGAGGGCATTGTAACCTTCAAAAGAGTCAGCAACGTGTATCACCAGTCAACATCTCGATCAGATCGACTTACCTCCTCCCCCAATAAACACCCAAACAGGCAACTTTGACTTTTCCGTGACATTCGCTGGAGCCCACACGTTCACAAAAAGACAGTCCTCACTCTGGCCAGGAGATGGTGCATTAACACCGGCTCTGAGACATATTGGCCCGAACTGGTCAGCCCTCTCGACGGTGTTGGTTCTCTTGGGCCTTACTGGTGCTCGCCAGCGTAAGTCTCCAAGCGGAGGAGCGGCATAACGCATCCCTAGGAAAGCGTTGACGCCGTTAGAGAGACGGATGCCCTCGTAGCTGGTGTAGGTGAGATTGACCATTGGCGGTGTGAGTCCGTTAGATTTCTTTGAAATAGATGTGGTTAGTTGGCGTTGAAACTACCTACCAAATAGCGAAGTAGCTTGTAACCTGGAAGATGACGTTTGCTTACCTTTCCCTCTCGAAGAGCAATGCAAGTGAGTAGGACACCAATAAAGATCAATGAAGCCAGCATTGTGGACAGAATCAAAGCGATGGTTTGCCTTCGCGGATGATGAAGCCATGCTACTTTCCTGGACACCTTGGAGGTTGGCTCACTTGGTGTGTTGCAGCTTGACTGAGTGTTACCGAGCAACGGAGCTCGTTCATTGATATTTTCCTCTTGAGAACCGAACATCTTACACAAGTATCACGCCCTAGTCTCTGTTGCCTAAATAAATGCAGGTCATAAGAATGCGTTGCTTGATGGGACATGTTCATTAGAGATGGTGGTGTTTATTAAAGAAAGTGGAATGGGCGGGGTATCAGGAAGTTCATAAGTCGTCAACTAGAACAAACAGCGGCGAATCATCTGTACTACATAGCAGAAGAAGGGCTCAGTCAATTGGGCATTGAAAGCCGATGCTAACGTAAATCAACGTACGGTCCAGAAATCTTCCATGGTATTTTGATAGAGACTGGCGTGCTTGGAATTGTGTGATGCAAGGTCCAAGATTGGATGGTGTAAAGTGTGCTCCAATGCGAGACAACAGAGACAAAATATTCCACCGATTTTTTTTCTGGGTAGCGGCAACCAAATGGAACCTGCACCAAACATCACAATCAATATTACGGCACACACTTACCTTTTCGTCCAAACTTACAAAGAAACGTCGCAATAACCCTTCAACAAAAAACCGCACCACTATCAGACCCAGAAACTTAGTTCGCCAACCACCCAAAATGACATCAACAACCAAAGACCCCTCCACCAGCGGCGCCAGCCCCGACTCCGACTCCGAGGATGATTATATGAAAATGACTTTCGCCGACGAACCCTCCACAACGACCTCCAGCAAAAGTGGAAAGCCCATCGAAACCTCTCTCCAGCGCCGCCTCCGCCTCCAGCGCGAAGGTGAGATACGCGGCCGTGTCAAATCCAAAGCCGAGCTCGCAGCCGAAGAGGAAGCCCGTCGAGAAGCCGCACTGTCAACCTCTCTGTTTAGCAAATTCGTTCCTTCGCCATCAACGGCACCCTCCTTTACTTCCCCTTCGTCAGCAACAGTACCGCCACCACCACCACCACCACCACCCACAGCAGCAAAAAGCAAAGGTCTAGCGATGATGGCCAAAATGGGTTTCGTCCCCGGCAATGCTCTGGGTGCTGGTGCCACGGAGGGTCGGACGGAACCCATCAAAATCAGCATCAAAGATGGGCGCGAGGGCATCGGGCTGGAGAGCGACCGGAAACGCAAGATGAGGGAGGCTGCCGAGGCGGCCGGGGAAATGGCCAAGAAGGCCAGGGTGGATGAGGAAGGGTATCGCGAGCGTCTGAGGAGGGAGAGGGAGGAGGCGAGGCTGGAGAGACAGGTACTTGCTGCGCAGAAGGTGGCGCAGGGGATGGATGAGGATCATGAGAATGAGGTGAGAGGTGGTAGTGAAAAGGGCAGTGGTGAGGGGGAAGTGCAGAAAAGTGAGGAACGGGATGATACCGACGGCGGTAATTCTCAAGCAAGGAGGAGGAGGACTCGTACCGACTGTTGCCGGCCCCTTCGCTCCATTCCTGTTGTCTACCGCGGGCTCATCCGCTCGTGCGAAGAGGCCAGGCGCGAGGCTATGATGCGGCATGACCTGGAGCAGAGTAGCACTCTGTCGTCCACGCGACTACCTACGTATGTCGATGACGAGCTTGATATGGACGACAAACATGCTCTGGGTAAGGATACTACTACCGTTCATAAGCCATGGAACACGTATGTAATGGCGGAGGATCTCGATGAAGAGGATCCGGAACTGGATGAGTTCAACACTCTCAGCCCTGACGAGCGGTTACGGCGCTTGGTGCAATACATGCGCAACAAGCATCACTATTGCTTCTGGTGTAAGGCTAAGTATGATGATGCTGAGATGGATGGATGCCCTGGGTTGACAGAGGAGGAGCATGATTAAAGAGATTGCACACGTGGTTTGATCCTATCTTGCAATGCAAATCGAGCGAGTTGAGGGTCCATGTCTCTTTCCTACTCAAAACACGCACCACACATACATTGACGAAATATTTCCAACAAAGGTGATGATGAAGAGTGTAGGTACGTGCTTTGAAGAGTGAAAAGGATAGAAAAAAATGGCTACTACGAATGGGGTACTATTCATCGCACGTCTTGGTTCGGGTACCATAGAAGATTGAATGATTAGATGGGATGAAAATTTCGTCCTGTATACTACATATCAATAACATCAAACAGCAAAGCAAGAAGAAAAGATCCTAAGCAAATGAACAAGAAATAACACCAGTTCCTTCCCGCTTATAGAGACATCCACATGGAGATCCAAGACCCTTTCACAACCAAACGCCCTTTTTATGAGTTGTTGAAAATGACTTTTGATACCCCCTATGCGTGATTTTTCTTTTTTGCACGCTTTTCCAAAAGGTAGAAAGAAAAACAATCAAACATAATGGTATCATGTCATCTACAGAGGCTTGCCGCCAATGAACTCGGACCACCTGCGGACCTCAGAGGGGATACCCTCGGGGCGGGGCAACTTCTCGGCCATGCACTGAGCAAAAAGCATAGCGGTCTAGGGGAGGAAGGAAACGTTAGCTTTCGGTCACCGTGAATTGAAAGGTCAGTGGTGAAGCTTACCTGGGGCTCCATGAAGAGAGGAACACCGAAGTCGACGGCGTTGCGACGCATAACGTAGTCGACATCAAAGACGGTCTTGCCACGGGCCTGGGCAAGGTTGAAGACACCACGGATGTTGTTCTTGGCGAAGACCTCACGAAGGGCACGCTTGTCATTGGTGGGGAAGGCAATGACCTCGACATCGATCTTGGTCTTGGCAGAGGACTCGAGGAACTGCTTGACCTCGTTATCGGCGGCGTAGAGCTTGTAGCCAAGAGGGCTGAGGTAGTCGACAATGGTGGTCAACCAGCTCTTGCTGAGGTCACCACCGAAAAGGAGACCCTCGCCGGGCTCGGGGACGCGGAAGTTCATGGCGGACTGAAGAGAGGCCCAGTAGGCATCGACGAGATCCTTGCCGAAGCAGGCCATCTCACCGGTAGAGGCCATCTCGACGCCGAGGAAGGGGTCGGCACCAGCAAGACGAGTCCAGGAGAACTGAGGAACCTTGGTGGCGAGGTAGTCACGCTTGACAGCCATGAGATCAGTGGGCTCAGGGACGTTCTTACCAACAAGGGCCTTGGTAGCGGCGTCGATGAAGTTGACGCCAAGGACCTTGGAGACGAAGGGGAACGAACGAGAGGCACGGAGGTTGCACTCGATGACCTTGAGGGCCGGGAGGCCACCCTCGGGATCCTCAGCCTTGATGATCTGCATGTTGAAGGGACCAGTGATCCTCCAGGCCTTGGCGACCTTCTGGGCGATCTCCTTGACGCGGTCCATGGTGGTCTGGTCAAGGTTGGCGGGAGGGAGGACGAGGGTGGCATCACCCGAGTGAACACCAGCCTGCTCAACGTGCTCAGAGACAGCGTGGAGGATAAGGTTACCCTCAGAGGCAACACCATCAACATCGATCTCTTGGGCGCCCTCAATGAACTTGGTAATAACAACGGGGTGCTCGGGAGAGACGTTGGCAGCAGCCTCAAGCTTGTCCTTGAGATCCTCCTTGCTGCGGATGACGGTCATGGCAGCACCGGAGAGGACATACGAGGGACGGACAAGGACGGGGTAACCAACCTCCTCAGCAAACTTCTCAGCCTCCTCGACAGAAGTGAGCTCCTTCCAGGCGGGCTGATCAACGCTAATGCTGTCGAGGATCTCAGAGAACTTTTGTCTGTCCTCGGCACGGTCGATATCGCGGGGATCAGTGCCGAGAACGCGGGCCTTTCCAGTTTCCTGGAGACGGAGGGCAATGTTCTGAGGAAGCTGACCACCGACAGAGACGACAACACCAGAGGCGCTCTCGAGCTCATAGATATCCATGACACGTTCGTAGCTAAGCTCCTCGAAGTAAAGCTTATCAGCGGTATCGAAATCGGTCGAGTAGGTCTCGGGGTTGTAATTAATCATGACAGTCTTCTCGCCCATAGCCCTCAGGGCCTGAGTGGCGCTGACAGCGCACCAATCGAACTCGACCGAGGAACCGATACGGTAGACACCGCTGCCGAGAATGACAGTACCCTTGTCCTCGAAGGTGACGTCGTGGGAAGAGGCGTTGTAAGTAGTGTAGAGGTAGTTGGTGTCGGCAGGGAACTCGGCGGCCAGAGTATCAATCTTCTTAACCCAGGGCCTGATACCGAATTCCTTTCTGGCAGCGCGGACAAGATCCTCAGTGCTGTTGACAGCCATGGCGATCTGCTTATCGGAGAAACCGAGCTTCTTGGCCTTGAGGATGTGCTCCTTCTTGAGGGCCTCGAGGCTGCCAAGCTGTTGCATCTCCTTCTGGCAGTCGACAATGTTCTGGAGCTTGTAGAGGAACCACTTGTCGATCTTGGAGAGCTCATGGACCCTGTCAACAGAGTAGTTCTCGTGGAGCATGGCCTGACCGACAGCCAACCAACGGCGGTCAGTAGGGTTCTGGAGCTCGAAGTCGAGATCCTCGAACTTGTCACCCTGGAAACCGACGAAGCGGGGGTCAACCTGGCGGATAGCCTTCTGGAAAGACTCCTCGAAGGTACGGCCGATAGCCATAACCTCACCCACTGACTTCATGGCAGAGCCGATGTCGCGCTTGACGTGCTGGAACTTGGACAGATCCCACCTGGGAATCTTGGTAACGATGTAGTCAAGAGAAGGCTCGAAGTTGGCGGTGGTGGTCTTGGTGACCGCGTTGGGGAGCTCGGGAAGGCTGTGGCCGAGACCGATCTTGGCGGCAGTGTAGGCCAGGGGGTAGCCGGTAGCCTTGGAGGCAAGGGCAGACGAACGGGAAAGACGGGCGTTGACCTCAATGACACGGTAGTCCAAGCCATCGGGCTGAAGAGCGTACTGGACGTTGCATTCACCAACGACGCCCAAGTGACGGACGATCTTGATGGCAGCGGAACGGAGCATGTGATACTCCTCGTCGCTGAGGGTCTGGGAAGGAGCAACAACGATAGAGTCACCAGTGTGGATACCGAGAGGGTCGAAGTTCTCCATATTGCACACAGTAATGCAGTTGTTGTTGGCATCACGAACGACCTCGTACTCAACTTCCTTCCAGCCCTTGAGCGACTTCTCGACCAAGATCTGGGGGGAG